GGGTCGAACGTTTTAACGCCTCGGTCACTTATCTTTATGGTTAGCTTTCTCTACGAGACCTGACATAAAGGTCAACTGGTTCACCTTCCTTTGAATAATCTTATTTGGATTTGGTTTCCGCACTCGATTCACAAAAAGAGGTAGGATTTGATAGGATTCGCAGTGATGTGCAGGAAACAAAACAAGAATTAGTAGATCTATGTAGCTGTATATTAGAATATGAGGGTATTTATTCGAACTTATTGATAAACTTCGGCGAAATAAAGAGTTGGTGTTTAATTACACAGTGTATTATTATTTTCACTAGGCAACACGCAATAATTATCATTATCATTATTATTATATGGTATGATATGGTGTGGTGTGGTGTGGTGTGGTGTGGTGTGGTGTGGTGTGGTGTGGTGTGGTGTGGTGTGGTATCTATATTTTCATTTCATGGCTCTTTGGAAACCAAGTAGTCTTCAAACGTGTTGTTTTTTTTTAAACGTGGTATGCTCAATAACTTCAACTAACAGTATTGGTAGGGGCGTTAAACCTATACCGTTTCACCATTTGTCAATAATTTCAAAAGATGTTTCGGTAAAAAAAGAAGTCAGCCCTCCTTTCGGAATGCACTAGACCTTGAACGCACACCTTATAGAGCCTGCCTTTTCAGTGGGGCCACTTTGGGTCACCGTCGCGTCATTCGTGAAAGAAAGTTTCACTTTTTTTTTTTATAAAAGCGTATCGACGCTCACTTTTACCGATATTTCTATTACCACTTTCTCATAACGTGAGCAAATCCTCGATGTTGATCAGGGTGACTTTTTAATTGGAGAATTCAATAATGGATTGCATTTATATAGCGCATATCCACTTATGCAATGTTCTATGCGCTTAGAAAATATATCCAAAATCGACAAAAAACCACATAGCAGGGTGGAGCGCCTGCTAAGCGCTCAACACACTCACTCACCAAAAAAAAACAAGAGTAACCTTCGGAGTGACAATGCGATATTCTTGGGGTGGGGGTTGGAGGTTTTTTGGATAATCTAATTATTACTCTGGATTTTGAAAAGGTTATTAAATTGTCACCCCTTAAAATAAGAAATTAACCACAAAATAAAGGATTGCACCAGAAGCGTCAACACAACAATATACTTGTATTACACCTGGCGTTTCGGGGAAACACCTTTCTTCTTTGCTTTTACAGCTTACTGTTTGGAACTGGAAAATGTTTTGTTTTTGAGGGGTTTTTTCTGGACAACAAAGTCGTTTAACAGATAGTTATTTATATCCCAGTGGTGGTCGAGGCAGCCTTCAAAGAGGCATGTTACAAGGGTTGTTCGGTGCAAACTTCTCGAAGCCCGTCAAAGCCGGCGAAAATAGGCACGTTCTGTGGCTTTTTAAACAAAATAGGTAACACGTACATAGAATAAGAGTCAATTTGAACCACCGTTCTTAAAATAAGCTAAAAGCGTCTCTCTCGCTTGTTGGATCGACGGCTCACACGTGACAACATAGAAAGTGGAGACATTGGATTCGCTTACCAGATAAAGTAAGCTCCAAATAAAGGGCTGAAGTTAACTTGTACCAGACGTAGAACAAATCACAGATATATGAATTAAGGAATCATCCTTATGGCTCTTACGAAGAGAGAAAAATCAGGGGTACAAATTAGATGTATTTGGTGACCAGTACTAATTTTGCAGCAATTATGCCAAAAGGAACCAAAGTAAACGCCTTGTGTAAATTCCTTTTCAGTCTCGCTGTCGTCTCCTTTTGTCGAAAAAAAAAAAACAACACACACAACAACTACAACAGGGAGTTGATGGAAAAGTCAGCAGATTGATATGGCGTCGAAATGGTTTGATTATGCCTTGATGGCTTGATACAAATAAAGGATCTTGCCAGGATGAGACAGTTTGGGCTATAGGGCGAATAGGTGGAAGACCACTTACATCTTACACTGAAAGCGTGAAATCCGACGGTAGTTTACAAGTTCATGAAATGATGCATCAAAGCAGAGATAGAGGGACCGAGAAAGATGGAGACCTCTTATTATGACAAGGACTGGTACACAAAGAGACGAACACGGCAATGGTGACTGGTGACAGGTAAAGAGCAAACCTCGAAGGTGGTGGTTATGATATCATTAGCAAGTTTCGCTGTACCCCAAACAAGTACATAATGTCGTAATTGTTGACATCGCCTTGTGTGACCCATTTTCCTGGTCTGTGACGGGCACTAATTGAAGGCTGCGTCATCCGCCGCTCCTGTTCCTCTTTCTTTAAAAGAAAGTGTTAAACAAGACAATGATACCAGCTGCAGAAGCAACACCTACTAGAATTGAAGGAGAACAAACAAATTAATTGAAATTAGAAAAAAAAAAATTTCGTCCCCTCATTCTTGAAATACGAGGTGTTGAAGGTGTCTCTGGCTCACGACATCCCGGTGATCAATACGTGACCTCAAGGAGAGTGGAAAACCAGAATGTGCCTTATAGTTCAAGTAAATACCGAATGGTTGGGGGCTTAAGTTAACCTTTTTCCCCAAAAATCATAGCTCGATTGGATTAACCTTTTTTTAAATGAAATGACAGAAGTACCTATGAGCACTCCAAATGCTGCAATTATATCCACAGTAACACATCTGTGTAATGAACACACAAATGTTTCAAAAAAACTATTATGTATTTTCGTTCTATAACTCTAAACTCTTTATCTGCTGAACCCTAATTGCTTAGTAAATTAGCGAAACACCCTATAGAAAGAACAATATGAAACATTCTGGACCATTTGTTCAGAAGTCGAAGAGAGATTAAGATCAATAATTAGAAGATGGGCTTCTGCCCCGCCTGTCAGGGACAGCCTGGGATGAGAAATATACAACGTCCCTTGCAGAAAGGCAGAGATATTCGATAACACGTTTTCCCCACACAAGACTCGAACATGGATCTTCTGCATTCAATGGCGAAACACCTAACCGTTGCACCACAGACGCCGGTCTATACATTATTGTTCTGTTGAGAAATGAAGAGTTTAAATTGTCTATAAGATGCTCGTTATTTCAATTCACCCAGGCCTGATCATTCCATTTTTCAATCCCCTCACTTTTCCAGTTCCATTGTACTTCCTTCAAAAGAGACAACAACGAGACTGAAAATGAATTTACACAAGACATCATAATAGTAAGGTCCGTCGCTGTAATGATAGTGCTGAGTAGCAATTGGGTTTTTTTTTTTTTTTAAAGATGCACAAATAGTTCTCAGAAATAACCAGGACTAAAAAGACTTCAAATTATCAGCATGACTGATGACAGTAATCTATGAAACCACAGTCACATTCAGCCAGGTCTGCTGACAGTGGAGCTTGTTGGAGCATAGATGTTGACAGAGAAGTCCGGCAAAAAACGACGAGAAAGA